CCCCAAAACCCCAAAACCCCAAAACCCCAAAACCCCAAAGGATGTATAAATAATTGAAAATAATACATGTTGTAGATAAATATTAATTGCAATGAGTAAAAATGGACTGGAATCGGCCCTACAAACTATCGAATATCAGAAAAAGGTCCAAAATCTCAAGTTCGAAGAGGCCAAAGAGGGCAGGAGGAGAATTAATCAGGGGCAACTCTCCATTGCCGCGGATCGAGGCATCATCCGAATCAATTGCAATACAAATTCATTAGGTTACAACAAGAAGATGAAAATGATAAACGAAAGACTAAGTAGCCAGATCATGAATAAGTACAAGAATAAATTCTCCTTGTCTAATTCTAAGGTATTGGGTGGAGATTTCTTGACTAAAGATACTATTAAAATGGTGAAGGGATCCTCTAATCCTAGCTCTCTACATTCTTCTATTATCCAAAAAAACAACCCTAAGGCTAAAGAAACTGGCTTTGATTCGTTACTAAGCCCCCAGATTTCAAGAGAGGAGAGGATCAAGGCTAAATACTGCAGAAAAATGGGATTTCTAAACTCCCAAATAGAATCAGACGAAAGCCGGCTTTCTTATGTAAAGCACAGGGGTTCTCAGCCTCATCTAGGTGCTGTTAATAATCTATTGTTAACTCCAAGGTAATGAAGAATTCAAAAATATTTTCTGACAATTCTAAACCCTACTTCTAGCATCAAGCACAGTAAGATAGATGACTTCTTAAAATCCTACAAATAAATGCAAGGTTTCGAAGAATACTGACAAAGCTGAGATGATCAAGGAAGTCCTCGAGAACATCAAATCGTTAACCGAGAGAAAAGAAGGTATTAGTTTTCATAATATACTTAGCAAATACCTTGATGAGGGAGAAAGCAAGGTCCCTACCTGAAATTAAGATAGATTCCAGCAGAAATTCGTCGATTCATAAGTCTAAGCCTAAGAAATTTCGTTTCAAGATGTCTCAACAGACAATAAATAGCGAGATTATGAATATTGATACTAGGAGTCCGCAGAAGCAAGAATCCATTTTTGATATTGATAACGAACTTCCTGATATCAACTTAGAGACGGAACGAAGGCCTGTAGAGTTACCTACACCAACAATGTTGCCGTTGAGACTAGTTTCAAATGCCAGTAAGTTATTGGTCCAGTACCTACTTTGGAGAATAACTTTTCCACCAATTTGTGTTAGGGAGGTTCATTTTCAGAAAATTCTTACTGAAGTTTTAGAGACATCCAAAAAGAAGAAAAATTTCAGCCCCAGTCGCACCAGCATTAAAAGTAAGAAATCATTCTTATTTGGCAGACCTAATGTAATTATTATTATAGAAAAGGCCAAAAAGAAATTCAGGCTGAAGAAGCTCAAGGTTAAGTCAGTACTTGGGAGGATAAAAATTAAGAAGATCAAAAAGCGCAACCGTTCTCAGTTAGACTCTCCTCTGAGAGACATTGATGATACTCCAGGGGTTTACAGGCAGTTCCAAAGAGGGTTAGAGGGAAAGCCTTCAGGCTTTGAAACCAAGAAATATAAATTATAGTATATTTCTTTGAGTAGTAATAATTAACCTTCTTCAACTAGATTTATCAAAATAGGGGTTTTGGGGTTTTGGGGTTTTGGGGTTTTGGGG